GGGACGGGGACGTCGGGATGGGAGACGAGAACGGAGGAGGGAGAGGTCGGGATCAGGTCGGAAGGTCGGGATGGGAGACGGGTTGGGACGATGTCGGCGGAAAGAAGTCGGGGAAGGAAAGGGAGAAGGAAGAGGTCAGGATGAGGTCGGGATGGGAGTCGGGATAGAGGAGGACGGAGGAGGAATCTAGGCATGGGAGACGGGTCGAGACGATGTGGGGAGGGAGAGTTGGGATGATGTCGGGGGAAGGAAGGACTGGGGGGGAGAGTCGGGATCAGGTCGGGAGGTCGGGATGGGAGACGGGTTGGGATGGGGAAGGAAAGGGAGGAGGAAGAGATCGCGATGAGGTCGGGATGGGAGTTGGGATAGAGGAGGAGGGAAGAGGAATCTAGGCATGGGAGACGGGTCGGGACGGTGTCGGGATAGGGGAGGGGGACGACGAGCTCGGTTAAGGAAAGGGGGAAGGGAGAGTTGGGACGATGTCGGGGGAAGGAAGGAGAGGGGGGGAGAGGTCGAGACGGTGTGAGGAAACCCGGCGAGGGGTCGTCTACTGTTCGCTGAAGCCAAGGGCAACGGCGCCTGTCACTCACCGCGCCCGCTTCAGAGGTCCTCAGCGACCAGCAGGGTGGTAGGGTTTTTTTTTTTGCCTGTCGGCCCCACTCATGAGTTGGGTCTGAAGCTCTTTCCCTCTCGCAAAACAGAAAAGAAAGAGAAAAACAACAAAAAAAATACCAATAATAATAATAATAAGGAAACAAAAATAATAATAAAGTAAATAATAAAGTAAAAGAGAACGAATGTATTCGACCTGCGGTTTCGAACTCTGGCTTGAGCCAATTCACTGCCCAGCATGTTATTCCTGTTCTGATTGGCAGCATGGGTAACTGAGTCTATTGGTTGTCTGCAGGCTACTAATTTGGCTGATGGTCAAAGTCATTGCTGCCTGTTGGCTGGTAAGCGCACTTCCTCCAGCTGAGGACGACCTCCTTCTCTCTCTTGCAAGCTTTCTTGTCTCCCGTAAGGGCCCTCTCAAGAGTCTCCCCATCACGGCCCCTTTTGTTATTCTCCCCACACCATGTCCTCCTCAGTTACAAACCTCACAGGAAACACTTTTGTTGCCTGCATCCCAAAGTCGGTAGCGCTTGCAGGAAACTCATGAACCACAAGCACATTATCACCCTTTATGTCTCTGTGGACGACAGGAGGAACTGCCCCATGATGAAGATAGTCGAGGCCCCTTGCTACATTCAGGATTATTTGCAATCTCATTTTCCATGTCAATTCATGCACTTTCCCTTCAGCGTCTGCAAGTTTCTTGTTGTAGAGCATGCTACTTAGGGTGCCAAGACCCCCTCCACTTCAAAGCACCAGCCAACCAGTTTCACAGGGCACCGATGGGGCAGGCGTCTCAGTAAATCGATCTTGCTTTCAGAGCGATCCCCCGTTTTGGGACTCACGCCGTTATGTCCAAATCTTGTTCTTTCGAAAATCCGAACGGTCAAATCGCCCATTTTGAAGGCCCCCGTAAGCGGGGGAAATCCGATCTAGGAAGATCGCGCGGGACTGAAGGGAAGCAAGGGAGGGTGCGGGGGGAACCTGGATGGCGGTGGCGCCGAAGCGCACTATGCTGTGCAGCGTTAGAGCTTATGGAATAGGGATTACGAGACGGAGCTCACCCGCCATAGCCCGGTGCGCTTAGCGCGGGAGAGGTAGGAGCTCGAGCAGCAGTTGAAGCCGGGAGAGGCTATGACTGTACGCGAGAGAGAGTTTGTCCCCAGGTGGAGTGAAGGTGGGTTGTGGGGTTGCTTTTTTTGGCCGTATCTGGCCCAATATTCCGAACATTCCGAACTGAAGAGCGTGGCGACTTGGCCGCGCCCTTCTCATGGGACTTGAGAGGGCTGTGCATGGATTGCGCTATACTCGAGGGATTTCAGCATCGACAACGGAGAGTCCGACTCCTGGGAGATGGAACAGGTATATTTCTCTCCCTGACCGCACTCAAACTGTTGTATTTCTGATTCGGCAAGCCTCGACTTTCTAACCATGTCTTTCTTTTCTTACTAATATTGGATGTATCTCACCAGTTCATGGTAGGCGGAAGGATAATATAGAGAACATAGTATGGTACGTAATGGTTGAGGGAACAAGACAGCCGCTCATAATACGGCCCGACAAGGCCGACAAGTTTCGGCCCGGAAAAGGCGGTATTTTCATGCTAGTAGTAAGATAGGCCTTTCGATGCATTATACAGACCTCTGACACCGGGGGGGCTCTGACAACCGGGGGGGGCCACGCGGAGGGGGCCCACACGGGGCGAAAGCACGGTACAACGCGCCTGCTACCACGGGGTTACGAAAGCGGTAAGTCGGGGAAAGACTGGCGACGGCGAAGGAGGGAAGAGGCCAAACGGGGAGAAACGATAGCGCAGATTCTCATTTCATTTCATTTCGCTTCACGGCAAGACGAAGGTCATTCACCAAGTGTGAGAGGGCAGAAGCACGTAAGTTAGGTGTTATAAAGCAGAAACTTTAAGACCCTAGGGTTTGCGCAGTAGGGCAGTCGGAACAGCCGCAAAGAGAACACAAAAGGCTAGACACAGTGGAATCTTTTGTGTGTTTTACGGCCAACTGGTGCGAAAACTATTTGCACATCGTTGGTAAGTGGGACTGTGGTAAGGGTTTAACCAGGGAAGCAAAGTTCGGAAGGAATAAAACTATTTCGTGTTACCCCCAAGCTAGCCGCTCAAAGATAGGCTAGTATCAAGAAAGTGAGATAAATACGAACACGCTAAATAGGGGGTGAGAGACAAGATGAACTCACAGGATAACCCGGTCAATGATCTGATCGCTGAGAGAAAAAATCCTAGTGGGAACGCGACTCAAAAATGGAGCTCACTGACTCCGTTTTGGAAAAAGACTGGGGCTTCGGGCGATAGTTCGTCCATTTTTGCATCGAAGGAAGCATCTCCACGAGATGTGGAGATGGGTTCAGCAGAAATGAATGAAGACAGTGGAGAAAGACGAAGCATCGTGTTCAGCACAGATAAAACAAAGGCCCAAAACAATGACAGAACCACCTTTTTCTTTAGGGCTAGCAACGAGAAAACCGGTCAGTCCGCCGGGGGAAGGGAAAGTGGAGATAACAGAAGGGAGGACAGAGGGGAAGAAGGTAGACGGGAAGGTAATGGAGGAGGGAGAGGAAGAGGGGCAAGCTGGGAAGGAGGAAAGGGGAAGGGAGGGGGTTTCAAAGGTTCTGGAGGGCAAAAGCAAAACTTTGGGAGAGGGAAAGGCCAGATCCCAAGAATCAACCGGTGGCCGGAGGAGGAAGATTCGGAAGATGAAGCTGATAATGAAGATGACACAGAAATTAACACGGGGAAAGAATCAGAAACAGAGAACAACGGAACGGATGTAGAGGAAGCGAAACAAATTTTCGAAAAGTGCTACGACGATTACTTATCCCTGATACGTCAAAATTGGCAAGTTTCACGATCAAGGATAAAACAGTAACGATTTCGGTGGACCCCAAGGTAGAGGAAGCGCAAGAGCAATGGCTCAGAGAAAATATTGTGTTAGTTTTCTTTCAGGGTGCTTTCAGATCTGTGTCTGCCGAAAGAAAAGAGGAATGTATTAGGATACTAGAGGACACGCTCCTCCCGGCCACAATGCATCATAAGGAGCGTGGCAGGGTGCACCAGGAAGGTAGGAGTGTGATGTCCTATCTACCAAGGGACAAGAAAACAGTCGAGCTTCTCCTCAGACTGGGGGCACACAAGTTGAAGGTAGGGGGACAAACATACAAAATGACATTCAAAAAATGGATGTCTCAGAAACAGATAGAAGAGACGAGAGTGGAAGCGGAGGTTAGCAAGATCTGGTTG